TGACATCAGTTCAACTCTCATAACAAGCCTAATAATGTAAATGTAATATAAAATTTGTATGACAGAATAAATCAGTAATCGTGCTACAGTTTGGTCCAATGAAAGCCACGCTTCAAAACAGCGGAAAAACGCAGTGAAGTTGAGCCTATGACGGAGAGCCGCAAGAAAGTGGGCGGGGCCTACAGTAAATCCCGTGATTGTCGTCCAATCAAATCATTCAGTAAAGGCGAAGGGGCGGGAGCAAAACAAGTGTGTTTCACATGAGCTGTGCTGCAGTCGTGGTATAATCCAGTTTACCGAAATGGCGGAGACAGCGGACAGAATGGAGGTAAGCTGGAGCTACTCAAGGCCATATCGGCTGGCACACATCCGAAGCCAAATAGCTATTTGCGAGAGTTAGACTCAACATGCCAGCTTTATTTGTTACATCCTAGCTCCGATGCTTTAGTCGTTGAACGGATTTGTGTGCTGCGTATGTCCTTATCAGGTGGCTAGAAATGTGCGCACACGCATCTTGAGCATCCATTTTAGCTAGCCGCGAATAATTCATTCATTTAGCATCACGTGTCTGCTATTGCTAGTAGGCTAAAACGAGTTAGTTCCGAGTTTTGAAATGTTACGTGTAACCATTTGATGTATAATGGAGTTGGATTTAGTGATTTATGAGTCCTGTTAGCTAGCTGCGCGTTCAGTCTCCACGAGGGTCGTTTAGAGCACGCTGGCGGTTCGCTTCAATTACCTATTGTTGGGTGCAGACCGCATGGGACGGAGCACCGCATGGGATGTGCTTGCTACTTTTTACAGCTTTGTTCACCAAACCACGACTAATTAGTTATTAGTGAGCTGATTGCTATAATTTGCGGTATGGTCAATTAATTAAAGTCGGTTTTTTTTTCAATCACGTTGTTGCCCACATGTATTTTAATCAAAAGTTTCAGAGGTCTTCCGACGCTATGAAAACGATTTTTCTCATTTAAAAGGCTAATTAGTATAACCGCTACTTTCCTTCTCTAATAAATTGAATGTTGTGTGGGGAAAAATACGTTTATCCCGGTTTTAACCGCCTTGAATTGTCTTCGCTGCTTTTAAAGCAATGCTGGTCTTGAGTTCGCACAAGCTCTGTTAGTTGTAATAGTGGCGGATTTTGATTGGTCACTGCGGTTTGAATCTTTTGAATCCATTTACCAAAAAGATTTGTTCTTTGTTCGTACAGTGAAGCTTTTACTACATCCTTACTTTTGGTACAGTAGGTGACAAGCGATTCTTTTGTGGCTAGCGCTTATTGAATCGTTTATTCGATTCGTTAAAATGAGTCATGCGTCGTGACCGAAACAAGTTTTGTCCTTTGTTAAAATTTTGCATATACCAATCGATGTTGAAACATTAAACACAATTTCCTCACAATAGCTACAAAACCGATTTATCACTAGCTGGGCTGTGGGTCTTATGACAACTTTTCAAAATTGAATGCAACATACAAAAGACACTACCTGAACGGAAGCAAAGCCCAGCTCATCCTTTTTTTTTTTCCTTAGTGTATAATTTGATTTCTTTTTTCTTTTTTTTTTTTTACAGGTGTCCCAGGGAGAGAGCTCAGCAAAACCTGCAGCAGAAGACATGACCTCCAAAGACTACTACTTTGATTCCTATGCACACTTTGGCATTCACGAGGTACAGTCTTATTTATCCATGTTTCATGAAGAGTGGTACAATCAAACGTCTTCATATCTGTGACTAATGCAAACCCCTTCTGTGTCCACAGGAGATGCTAAAGGATGAAGTTCGTACTCTGACGTACAGAAACTCCATGTTCCACAACAAGCATCTCTTCAAGGATAAGGTGGTGCTGGATGTGGGAAGTGGAACCGGCATCCTTTGTATGTTTGCAGCCAAAGCTGGGGCCAAGAAAGTTATTGGGGTGAGTGTAAATCCTACCGGCTTATGTAAATGTCACCTCATTGTTTTCAGCAGTTGAGTTTTTATGGATACTGACTAGTTTAGTTAAATGAGGTTCTTGCCCATCCTGTAAAGGTGCTCATGCTGTGCTTTTGTCTGATTTTGCATTCTTTTGTCATTCGTTCCCCAGATTGAGTGCAGCAGTATATCAGACTATGCTGTGAAGATTGTGAAGGCCAACAAGTTGGATCACAGTAAGAACTTCTCATAGCCCTTGGCTTCCTTATTGTTTACAGACCTCATTTGCACACCACATTTGTGATTCTTTTGAACTGAACTTGCTGTATTATGAGATTGTGTACCTCAAATCCTTAACCTCATTTTCCTTGTCCAGTCGTTACCATTATTAAGGGCAAAGTAGAAGAGGTTGAGCTTCCTGTGGAAAATGTAGACATAATCATCTCTGAGTGGATGGGCTACTGTCTCTTCTACGAGTCCATGCTTAACACTGTCATTTATGCAAGAGACAAATGGCTGGTGGGTGTATGCTGATGTCCTTTTAAAGCGTTGCAGTGTTGAAGCTATTAACTATAAAATTGTGCATGTTGACCGTAATTTGATTAATGCTCATTTTGCCCATTTGTTTTCTTTTCAGAAACCTGATGGCTTGATTTTCCCTGACAGAGCCACGCTCTATGTCACTGCTATTGAGGACCGACAGTACAAGGACTACAAAATTCACTGTATGTGTCCATCTCTGAATGCATTTGGGGCCTTTTCTGCTGTATCTGAAATAGGACACCATTTCATTTTTTGTTTTGCTTTTTCAGGGTGGGAGAATGTTTATGGCTTTGATATGTCCTGTATCAAGGAAGTGGCCATTAAGGAGCCACTAGTGGATGTTGTTGACCCCAAACAGCTCGTTAGTACTGCCTGCCTCATTAAGGTTAGTTTACTCCACAAAAGTGTGAAGTGTTTGGTTTTTATATAACCTCTGCTTGCGTATTTATTCAACCATACTGATTCTCTCGGTTCATTAGGAGGTGGACATCTACACAGTGAAGATTGAGGACCTGTCCTTCACGTCACCTTTCTGCCTGCAGGTGAAAAGGAACGACTACATTCATGCGCTGGTAACCTACTTCAACATTGAGTTCACTCGCTGCCACAAGAGGACAGGCTTCTCTACTAGTGAGTGCTGTCTTTGTTTTCCCCTCTCTCTACCACAGTTTTTCTCACCATGAATTTAAGTTATAAATGAACCCTTGGAAAACAAAGTGCATTTTTGTCTTTTAGGCCCAGAGTCTCCTTACACTCATTGGAAGCAGACTGTGTTCTACCTTGATGACTATCTGACGGTGAAGACCGGAGAGGAGATCTTTGGCACCATCAGCATGAAACCCAACGTCAAGAATAATGTAAGCCCCACCTGCACTTAATATTCTAAATGATCACTTTTAGAATAGATTCTTACATGAAAGTGTAAAGAAATTTATATGATATACTTCTGCATTATATTACAATAATATAAGTTCTAAAAATATGCCTACACTACTGTTAAAATTTTGGCTCTAAGATTTTCTTTCTTTTAGAGAAGTTTCTTTCAGCAAGTACAGTGCTATTTTGAAGTTATAATTAAACGTTTTATATTTTGATATTTAAGAATGTATTTTTCTGGTAAAGCTTTACAGTCTTGATTTTATAATTAAACCTGTTAAATGTCCTAAGTTAATAAACGAACGTTGGTATGGTTCTACAGATCAATACATGGATCACATTCCTGACCATTAAGAGGATATTTCATAATTACATTTTAATATAATTTCCCCCCTTTTTTCCAGAGAGACCTGGACTTTACCGTCGACATCGACTTCAAGGGTCAGCTTTGTGAGGTGTCCAAGACGTCGGAGTACAGGATGCGCTAGATTCCTTTAGCATAAGTGTGTGAGGCATCTCGGAGAGCAGTGTACGCTTCTGTGTGTGTGAAACCATGTACATTATTCCAAACTGTGCATGACAGACATTTTTAGAGATTCTGTTTTACAGAATATTGTCTGAATTTTTTTTTCTTTTTTTCTTTAAAAAGCGCCCAACGGGACTAAACATGGCAAAAATAATTTTTTGACCTTGCTTTTTCCACATTTTAAGTGCATCATTTTGGATAAATGCATGTACACACGTGCAACTGCTCTTTTGCCTGATTGTCTGTGTCTGACAACATGTCATCTATGTATCTTTTTTTTTTTCCCCTGTCATGCCGACATGTCTGTGTTGGTCACTGTAAAAAAAAAAATGCAAATCAGCCATATGTTTTGATATTCCATCTGGTAAAGCCAGCATCTTCTATGTAGGTAAAACCTGTCATGTTTCACTGTGGACAGGAGCTCTGCCCAGTACTAGCTGAATGAGCCCATATCGTTTTTGTTTGTTCTGTACTTGGAGGCAGTTGTTTTGGACCATCAGTAGAGGGCGCCTCCATTATGTGCAGTTTGTCTTCTGTGCAGTAACCGTTTTAATTCAGGTAGTGCTCCTATGTCCTCATCTGTTAGCTTTGTTTGTTTTTTTTTTTGTTTTTTTTTTTTTAACTTGTTACAATGACTTAATCAGAGGATATTATCGTGTTATGAATGAGACCGCATAGTAATCTCTTGTGCAACTCATAGGTGGTGTTAATGAGCACTATTTTAGATCCGTTGATCTTTTTAATGTCATATAGGAGGAATCTTCATCCGGTGACTGACCATTTAGTTTAAGCTTATCTGCTGCTCTTTTGCACTGGAAGCACTTAAAACTAAGTTTCTCCAGACCCAGAACTAAAATTTAATTCCATGGAGGAAAACCTTCAGACTAAATTTTCCATTTGAGTGCTTTTATTGAAGGTGATGCTTATCCTGTGTTTGAGTAACTTCACATTTGTTTCATATTGCGATCTTCTCTCATAGTGTTGCTGTGTACTACAGTGTTTTTGTCGAGGGGTGCAAGTTCACATGCCTTGTGTCTAGCACTGGTTTGGATTATTACCAGGCAGGCATTTGTCCACTAGGAATTTTTTTTTCTTCCCTTCTTTTTTTGAAATAAAAACCGTAAATTGAATCTGTGTGATTTGTTTTCAATGACCAAAAATGCAAACTGACTTCTCAGTAGACTAACCAGCTACTGCATGCCTTTTTAAGTATGTTGACTTAATAAAGGATAACACTGGGTGGTGATCATATTTCCTCTTGAGACCCAGGCATTGATATTTGCCCTCTGTAGAGAACGTTATATTTTAGGGAATTTCACTGAGATCATGTTTGTGTCAGTTTTAAGTCTGAACGTCCTATATGAGCACATTCAGTGCATTTTAGAGATGCCAAATGTTAGACAATGGTTTAACCATTAAAACTCCCTCTCTCTTTAAAAATGAGTTGAGTTTATTTGACACAAAAAGTAGCAATTCACTGCTACAACCTTGTCAAGGATAACACCATAAAGTTAAAATAACTTATTTCCATTGTGGTCCTTGCTTTAAAAAAATGACTGACATTGTCCATATTATCTTATGGAAATATAATATTACATTTTCAAGTTGTTTGTATTGTTGCCAAGTTATTACATTATTACAGTTCTTTTCATTACATGTTACCCCAAGAACACGTTAATATGCAAATTAGATACAATGTATAGATACATTATATGGGAGTACTAATTTATGGCCATTTTACACATATTGCATAAAGTAAAATACTATATTCAACTGTGCTGTAATCTCTTTCATAACAGTTAATTATTATTAATGGTTTCAGAAGGATATATATATATTTTTTTTCATGTTTTGTGATATAGCTTCTCATTACATTGGAACTTCCAGCAACTTATTTATTGAAGTTATCCAAAATCACTAAATGTTTGGAAACTGGCATGTGCAATATACAAATTTAGTATGAAATAAGCTTTCCTTAAACCACTTTAATTTTCTGTTTTATCTTGAAATTATTTGTTTCCTTCACCATTCTGAATATGTTTCTGGGTCTGTTTGCAGGTAATGTAAGAAAAGCCTTAGTGAAACTTGTAATTGACTTACAATTGCATGCAAGAGTTTTCTTGCGACTCGGGCCTTATTGTCTAATTGATTTAGAGTAGTGAAGTAGCTGTATCTAGATCTATCTGATAAGATAAGGTCATCTTTTTTTTTAATTAAAAAATATGTGGTTAGTGTCCTGACAACACCCAAATATATGTGAATCGAAATCAATTTTCATGAGGAATGTCTCTTTGCAAAAATTTATGCATAATTAGGTGGCAAATCTTGAAAAAAACATTTGACAGCTGAACTATTCAGATTTATTGCAGAAGAATATTTACAATCACATTTTTAACGTTTTCTATAGTCTTTGAAACTTAAGACGCCTTATAATATTGTCTAAGTAGAGGTTTTTTTTAATGAAATAATACAGTTTTTATTTTTTCTAATTTTTTCCATTAACAATTCTTGCATTTCATCCTGTCTCTTCTGTTTCTGTTGTTCCAGCTGAAGAATTGTTTTTGACATTTCTCGCTTCTCTTTTTCAAACCTCTGCCTCTCCGTCTCCATTCTCTGTCTATGCTGGGACTCTTCATTTTTTCTCTTTAACTCCTCCTTCTCCATGTAACACTGATGTTTTGACTGCTCTTCGCTTTGTTTTTGCCTCTCTAGCTCCATCAACTTTTGATGTTCTGCAGCCTGGGAACTTAATGCTCTCTTTGTCCTTTCTTCCTCTTTTCTACTCTCGTTTCTTTCAATTTGCATGTGCTCTAGCATAGTAACTATAATGTGGTTGTGTTTTGTCAGTTGTTCATGCAGCTGTGTTTCTCTCGAGCTTTGGCGCTGCTGCTCGTGTTCAGCCAATTCGATCAATCTTTGAAACTCAATCTCTCTGGCTTCCATCTCCTTTCTAGCAGCTTCAGCTTTCCGTTGTAGCTTAGCCTCTCTTTTCTTATATTGCTCCAGTAGCTGGTATGTTGAGTTGGTGTAGCATCCACCACCATTGTCCTGAACCATGTCTTGGATCTTTTTAAGGAGTTTGGACACTTGTAAATAGTAAATCTTTATTGTTGAAAACATGGCATCTGCCACCACATTTGTCAATTAAGGCTTTGAAATCTGCTGTAGCCGCTCTCAGATAGTCCTCAAAAGTTGTGTCCTCCAGGTCATCCCCCTTTGTGAACAAAATCAATGTGTATCTTGTAGCTCTTTCCCCAAAGATCTCCTGTATCTGCTGGACTGTTTCCTTCTCTTCTTTTGTGAAGCGATTGCCAATCGCCAGGATGAGAAGAAAGACATGCGGACCAGGGTATGACATGTCGATGCATTTCACTGTGGCCTGCGTGAGCTCAGCCTCGGAGAGCTCTGTGTCACACCAACCAGGAGTGTCCACAACTTTGATTGTTATGCCATCGAAAACAGTGGTGGCCAGACTGCATTGCTTTGTCACAGACTTAGAGCTTGCTGCTTTGTGAAAATGATCTCTTCCAAGGATGCTGTTACCAGTAGCACTTTTCCCAACGCCTGTTTTGCCAATAAGGACAATCCTAATTTCTTGTGCTATATAGATCAAGAGATAAAATGCAATTGTATCAAATAAAACATGTAATAAAATATTAATAATATACTGTCTTTTTAGAATGTATTTGTATTTAGATAAAATGATAGACCTTTACAGCAGTGACAGGAAAATAAAACAATTCCTAAACATTTAATAGACTAAATACTTATTAAAGAGAATAACATTACAATATTAAAGTTTTAGATTATTAATGTGAGGCATTAATGGATAAGATCGAAAATAAAGCTAAAATAAAAAATATATATAAATATAATATAAAAATATAAAATATAATATAAATATATTAACATCTGTTACATACCTGAGAACTGTGCACTCATCTTGGCTCAGTTTAACAGAGACCTAGAACAAGGGTATTTAGGAGAGACTCTATAAGAGAGCTTATAAGGGCTTCCTTGTCCCAGCCCCTTTTAGATCTTGGCAGTGTGATTAAAAAAACCATGTAGGAAATTGCTAAAATGCGCTCTAAAGGAAAAATTATGTGGAAAATAATGTAATACTTTTATTAGTTGTTATCTAATCTTGTCAGTGTCTGATACGTGAATTCACGGCATTCTCTTTTAACTTGATTGACTGTTAATGTGGGGTTTGATTTATTGCCAACATCCTTATTGCCCTCATGTTTACATCAATGTAATGATATTTTTCTTTCTCTAATGATATTTTGTTGTAAAATTCACTATATGACATGATTATAGCTTCTGTTGAAAATTCATAATAATAATGCCGAAAGATTTGTATGCAGGTTAGGCTTAGTGTATAAACCTTATAAATTGATTATAAAAATAACAGTGTAATAAGTGATAAATAAGTGTTTACCTATGTGTGTGTTGGGTTATGTGTGCTCATGTACAACAGAAACAAAATAAATATAATGCGGTAACACCTTACATTAAAGTCCCCTTTAAAGGTTTATGAAGGTGTTTATGAACTCATTTACAAATGCATTATAAATCATCGATAAGCAGTTATAAATGCATGAATAAAAAGGGTGATTTTAATGCAATGCCTGCCAAATAGTGAGCCATTTTTAACAATAAATGATTAATAAATATATTTATTCATACTTTTTGACTCAAATCCAGATTCCTGATTTATTTCATGATTCAGCAAACATAGACTATTATAGCAAGGCTGAAAGGTGTTGTATTTATGGTTTTATCATTTACAGTATATCTCATGACTCGTGACACTTTTCTTATGATGTTACTTACCAGAATCTGCTCTGTACCTTACCCATGATACACTGCCAAAGTTCATGATGCCTATCCACAGCAATGATTAGAAACTGATATAGATATTTGAGATATTAAGAGATTTAAGATATTATTAATGACATTTTTTATTCCAATATTAGTTACCCGTGAACCTTAATGTAAAGAACCATTTATTAATGAGTTATATATTAATAACCTGTGAAAGTGAACCTTAATGCAAAGAGAACACTTGTCAACCATTTATTAAAGAGTTATATATGTTAACAAAAGGATAGACACGAGTAAATAACAACTACTAAATGGATAAAGTGCAAAAGATTGATAGATGCAAGTCACTGAGTTGGATGTTACTATGGCCGTTATCTTATGGAAAGATAAACTGGAATTACTTGATTTACAGTAAATGGTGAGTGGGGTTAGATTTATTGCCCACATACCTATTGCCATCATGTGCCCTCAGTATAATGATCTTGCATTTGGTTGCAAAGTTCACCATATAACAATGTCAACATCTAACAGGTCTGAAGAGTTATCAGGATGATACTTTTTATAATGGGTGTATAAAAGGAAGAGGACTATTAATACAACAAATTAACAATGTTTACCTTTTGATTATTTCTGTTGCCTGTAGTAATTCTGTGTGTGATTTTTCATTTCCAACCCATTTTAAGCCAGCAATATAGTACATTTTAAGCAATATTTGAGTTATATAAAACAACCAACATGTTGGGTAAAAACTTTTAACCCAACCAGCTGGGTCAAAATAACCCAGCATGTCTTCTGTACAATAGCTAGCAGTGGGTTGCCAAGTAACCCAGAAATGGTTGTTTTTAACCCAGCATTTTTTAGAGTGCAGTCATTGATTGTTTCACCTGCTCTATGATCATAAATGTTGAGTGGGTTCAAACTTTGAACACCGTGTGAGTGTATCATCTGAGATAAATGGCTTATACTGTAACAAAAAATATTTTTATTATTGGTTATCTGTTTGAAATTGGAAACCAAATCTGAATCTAGAAATGTATCAAATGATTCATTGATTAAACATTAAGATCCGTTTGATTAAATTATAGACAAATGGTTTGACAATATAGTATGACGAAGGGCATAAATGTTTAGCTACAGTGGGTACGGAAAGTATTCAGACCCCCTTAAATTTTACTTACATTTAGTGAAAACTAAGGATGAGTTTTGATTTCGTTTCTTGCACTAAGCTGATAGTAAGCTGAAATGTTTGATAATGTGCATTTCTGAATGATCTGTTTAGGGATTATTTGGAAAAAATATTAGGCAATAAAAACCTGAGAATTCAGTACTATCAGGACAATGCAATTCATTCATTTATTTGTTTTTTTACAAGAACAATGTAATATACAAGATAATAGTTTAATTTTCAACTGAAACCAACCTCAGAATCTGTGATGACTTATGATCATATGGGATAGACAGATTTTTTAAATTAAATGTAGTATTATTTTTTAAAATGTGTAAATTATGAAAGATGACAGATTTCATTGCACTAAATCCCCTTCTGTGTAAGACAACAGATTACTTTAAATGGACAAGAATTTACTATGGTTTTTTAGTAATTTATTTTTGATATGTGATTTCTGACACACTAGAAAGTGCATCAGGTTCAATTCTATTCGCAGTTTCTGTATGTCTTTCATCAGCTGGTCCATGTCTTTCAAGCGATTCATTTCATTCTCTTGGGTGGTTTTAGCGAGCTCATTCATCTTCTGCTTTAACTTTTCAAGCTCCTTTCTGTCATTCATTGTTTCTCCTTTTTCTTTTTCTTTTTCGTCAGCATCACAACTACTCACTTGGTCATCGTCATCATCTCTGTTTTTATTTTCAGCAGGATGTTTTCTATTTTCTGCTTCATTCCTACACTGTTTCTTGTTCTTGTTATACATAGATTCGGTGTAACATTTCTTTTCCTTTTCCTTCACCATATCATTCATCTTCTTCAGAAGTGAAGAGGTTTGCTGGCAATCTCTTTTGTTTCTGTTGTTAAAGACATGAAATCTTCCTCCACATGTCCGAATGATTTTCTGCAGATCTGAGTGAGAATCTTTCAGGTAGTCTTCGATAGGCTTCTCCTCCAGCTCATCCCCTTTGGTGAACAGCACAATCATGTATTTGATGGCTTCATCTCCAAACTCCTTCAGGATATTCATGAATGTTGTTATCTCTTCATTGGTAATTCTGCCAATAGGCAGCACTAAGAGAAACACATGTGGCATGTACCTGTTGATGAATTTGATGATATTCTGCTTCATTTCAGTCTCAAACTGAGAAGAATCACACCATCCAGGAGTGTCAATCACTGTGATTGTTTGCTCATCCACAGTGGACATGCTCATTGAACAGGCTTGAGTGACTCTCTCTGAGCTGGGCGCTGTGTGAAATGCATGGCAACCCAGAAGAGTGTTTCCTGATGCGCTCTTCCCTGCTCCTTGCTTTCCCAACAGAATAATTGTCAGCTCCTCCATGCCCAGCCTTTCATTGACAAAGAAACAGAACAAATAGATTTGCATGTCAAAATTAATATGTAGCCTGCTGCTGAACAAAGTATTCAAAGTAAAAACATTATTCATACCTTTTTCTATAAAAAATACAGTACCTTTTAGTCTCTGCGTTCTGTTGTTTCTACTACAATGAAAGTGTTTGATGACTGAGCAGCACATTTATACTCTGAGTGGATGCTCCACCTCCATCTGTAGATGTCACAGACTCTGCACAGGTTTATCAAGAGCCCCATCCACTGGAACTCAATTGACTCAGCAGGTCTTTGTTTTGTGTTTTATATCTCATTGGTTTTTATGACATGGGGGAAATATGTTTCTTGTTTCTCATTATGAAACAAAATATTGATCTCATTATGAGCTGCATATGCAACCACAACTGCTACAATAAATGTGATGAAAAATAGTTTGGAAAGCAACAACAACAAAAAATTTAGCCGCAAACGTCAATCAAGGTCCAAGCACCAATATGCGCATGATTAGGTGATTCAATTGCCCTGTATCTCTTTCAATATAAAGTGCTTTACTGCAAATTCAACAGTCTTGAATCTCAATTGATAAGAAAAGTTTTGATAAACCAGTTTGCAGAAATACATGCTATTCTTGCAAGTTGGAGCACCCCTTATGGGCAGAATCGGATATGACCTGTTGTGCATCCTCAGAATGTCCTCTGGACTATGTGTATCTACGTGTATTTTGTCAAGTTTGGATTTTGCATTCAGAAGATATAAGTCTATTAGTTAAAAGAAGGCTAATTTTTTTGGCTTATATATTTGCAATGTTTAGACGTGCCAAATTTCGAGTCAGATTTTAGTCCCTAAAGTTGCCGATTTATGAACTGCAATGTAAATGGCCTTATTATAGTGCTATCTAGGAGGCACCCAAGTTTAGAGCAATATGGTTCAATCACTTTCTGTGCTTGGGCCCCTAACAATGATTTGCAAGTCTTATCCACGTGTATAAATAAAGTATTCAGTGTCAGAGTCAATATAAATCTGCATGAAAGAAATGTATTGCTATTGCTGCAGGGCTTTAAATATTGCATTACAGAAAAGTATGTCAAAGCTGGTTAAAGATACAACATAATTTCCTTAATAACATACAAATGTCGTCAAGCTGGTCAAAAATTCAAATACATTTCGGGCATGTGTTCTTCATACAAATGTTTAATTTATTCAATTTAAATGCCTTTTTGTTTAATTTATTTTATCTTTGTATTGGTCCAATTCAATTTATTTCAGTATATAAGAAAGTGAGTCAAAAATCTACACCTTAGAAACAAAAAATAAAGGGCATGTTTTGTTATGATATTATAAAGAAGTGATTTTTTCAAATCACTCACTGCTCTGCACTTTTAACTTAACATGCACACTGAGAGAAGCAGAGCACAGCATTTACACTCTAACACATCTCAGGTCTCTTCTTGGCTGCCCGGCAGCGGAGAACTTTGAGGAAGCTGTCAATTTTGTGGGAGTCCCTGCGGAAACAGGACAGCAGGAAATGGAAATTGACAAGTTGAGAAGTTTTATCCTGGCCAAGGCTGTTGATGTAAAAAGGGAGAGAGGACAGGTTGTCTGAAGTTGAGCCCATCTGTAGAGAAGAAAACACGGACAGTTGACAATGTATAAAACAACCCTGCTTAAAAAGATTTCTTTCAATGTTTTTATCCAGACATCATTCATTTTTACTTCATACTGCCCTCCTGCAATCATCATTCACAATATACACACTGTGAGCTGTTCTTTCAAGTGCAATCACCTTGTTAAAGACGTGCTCCAGACCTGCTTCCAGGCTGTTGATGTTGTCCTGCAGCTCTTTGGTTTTGCTGTTAATGGTGTTGTGTTCTGGATGTGCCAGGCTGGACGCCTCAGAGGAGAGAAGGGCGAGGGGATCGGACCACGCCAGCAGCAGAGACCGAGCCAGAGACAGCAACTCATCCTCCTGCACAAACAATCAGATAAAACGTCATTCACTACTTGTCTGATTTGCCTGTAACTAACTACAATTGTGACCACAAGTGGGAGATGTTTACTCATAGTTGACACTGCACATTAAAGGGTTAGTTCACCCCCCAAAAAAGTAAATCCATCTTGTTCCAAGTCCATAAGACTTTCAAGCCAATGAGGTTTCATGAAAGCATGTTTGTAATTCTGCAAGAACCAGTGAGTCAGAGAGGCAAGTATAGTTGAGTTCACATGTATCATATTAATGTGCTCTATGTATGTTTTGATTAATGCTCACATGTGAATAAAAACCTAAATTAAATCTATTCATAAAGTGATGATGTCTCTCTAGAGGACTTAAACAGATTAAACAGCTTGATTCATATAGATTTCTTTTTCAATGTCTTTATAAATTTTCTGAAGTGTCAAAGTTTTGGTAGTATGGATGTTCAATAGAGGAACAGAAATCTCTCATATTTCATTAAAAATCTTCTTTATTTTTTGTTTTGAAGGTTGATGAAAGTCTTATGGGTTTGATCAAGGGTGTGTAAATGACAGGAATGTTTATTTTTGGGTGAAATATGCTGAAAATACATTGGATTGAGACACTCTGAATGAAAAAAAAAACTATTAGGATTTCAAACATTTCCAAGATTTGTAAATTATTTATAGTATATATATAGATACTTCATATAGTACACATTTTTAAATTATGTATTTTTGTATATTTTGTTTTATATAAAGTATTACAGTTACAACAATTTAATAATATATTTTATACAATAAAAATGCATCTTTATATTTGTTTTTAAATTAAT